CGCCGCTCTTGGCATTGCAAGGTGGTGGACGAGGCGAAGTGCTGTCTACCATTTGACAATATTGCTGCAAATGCACATTATTGTTTTGCTTATAAAGCCAAGTTAGCATTCTGTAAAAGAAGAAGGACCACTGAAGGGATAAGAAACTTTTGACACCCGTTCTGCCCTTCTTGTAAGGAGATCTTAGTGCTGCTGTGACCCGCCTTAGGTCAATGTTTTGGGGACCCACTTGTGGAAACCATAACTTCAAACAGGCATGAGATGTCACTGGGGGAGACGTTAGTATACTCAGTATTGTTCTGTGTAGATTCATTAGTGTAATGCATCGAGGGATCTCAGGGTGAACACTCTGGTATTGGGGAGGGGAGGATATCGAAGTATTATACCATCTGTCACTTTCTTTGAGCTTCTGTATTACCTCTGAGCTTAGGCATGATCCTTAGTGCAGTCCTAGGGAGAGATTTTCCCAGGAAAAATACATTGTTGCACAGTATCTGTAGTGAATTGCAATGTATTTGGGAGTACTGTTGTTTTGGATGTGCAATTATGATAATCATGTGCCATCAGTTCTGACTCATGACAGTCCTTTTCAAGATTTTTTAGGTAGAGAGTGCTCAGAAGTGATTTACCATTCTTTTCTGGGGTGGCTACCCTGAGATGTGCAACTTGTCCAAGGCCACACAGGCTCTCTACTTGCAGAAGGCGCAATGAAGAAATGAAGTCCCAACCTCTGGTTCTGCCTAAAGAAGCAACCCTAAAGAAGCCTAAACCACTGAGCTATTCAGCCAACCTAGATGTGCATTTAAAAGCCATTCATTTTGCAACATTTCTTGACATAGACGCATCCAGCTGCTGCATTTTCGAATTCTTGTTAGATATGGCAGCTCACTGTGGGGATTGTGATAAAGACACCTGACACTTCCAGCTTCATCAGTACTCCACTGTGTAAAGTTTATATGCCAGAAGACCGGTCTTGCATTTGTCTTGTCCTGTACGTGTAGAAGTGGGGAAAGGCATCTCAACTTACTTGTAAAATTGCTTCTTTTAAAATGGGAAGCAAGGCCTCGCCCTGCAGTTTTTTTTTATAGGTACAGTATATGTCTGATGAAGTTTTAACCATTTCCTCCATAATGATGTTTCCATGCAGAAGAGATTATTATGTAGGAAAGGTCTGGGGATCTACTAGAAGTCAGTGGATTGGAATGCCTGACTGAAAAGCTAAGGGACAGGTGTTTAAATCTCCACTTTGCCTCCTAGGAGACAGCTGAGATTACCTGAACCATATGTGGCTGATGGGGTTACATTTCCTGCCACCTGTGTGGCTTTGGGCAAGTTTCACAGTCCCAAAGTGGCACTAGAAAGAGAGACTGGTAAATCACTTCTGAGTGTTTTATGTCTAAAAAATCCTAGGAGGGTCAGAATAACTCAGAATCAACTTGATCACACATAATGGCCAAACTCTTGGTGGGGTACATATGCATGGGTAGACGCTAATGACACTATCAGCTGGCATTGGTAAACATAATTGTAATTAATTGAAAGCTTTCTTTTTCCTTGTTTCAGGTTCTGAGGTTCTCTAGGGCTCCCTTTCTCCCTGGGGAAGCCTTTGGAAGCCCAAAGATGTGGGGGAAGCTTCTAAATAGACAAAAATGACCATAGGATCACCACTGGCAGTCCTGATCTCACTGGTGGCTGTTAGTGATTTGTGACTATTAAAGACTCCTTCCAAAGGTTGCAAAGGCTTCCCCAGGGCAAAAGGGAACCCAAGAAAGTTTTGAAACCAAGGTTCCTGCTAAAATTAGAGGTTATGTTGCTTGGAACGTAATGGAGGAATAGGGGGATTTTGATGAATTTAAATGAAATGTTTTCCTGATGACACCATCAGCTTCTGCTGGTGCAAATTTACAAAATGTGATTTTACCCAGTTAATTAAAGGTTTAGGAGGGTTTTGGAGGGAGGAGGATGGCACTGAAGATATTACACTTCTCTGAGAGAGCTGGGGAGATATCCATGATAGTGATGGACTGCAAGCAGTGATTGTTTCATAGAAGGAATTTAACCAAATGTAACCAGTTGTGTTACATTGCAGTAAGAGGGAAGCTGCCCTTAAGGATCTTTGTCTTTTACACAAATATTGGAGATAAGAGGTCTCCAGCTTTGTTGTCACACTCTCTTGTGTATTTTGGCGTCCTGGAATAAGTGCTTCCTTAGGTATCATGAGGTGACTTCACCCAGGCTTCCCTAGGCTGCCCATTAAAGTAGTGGTCCTGAGCCTATTTTTACCTTATCTCTGAAGATTTTCAGTCATCCAGATGTGCCTATTAAGAAGTTAATTCATGGCAACCGGACTTCTTTCTTGTTAGGCTAGAAGTTAATTCATGGCAACTGGACTTCTTTCTTGTTAGGTTGAAATGTTTTGCTACTCATCCAAGTAGCTTGTTCAGTCTGAGGAGAGTTGGTAGGAGATCCCTGATATATTTTCCATGTTGGTTGCACTTTCCCGTGGTCTGAATAGGCTCATTAGAAGGACAAAGGACCTATGATGACTGCTAACAACACAGAAAAATGCACACATTGATCAATACCTGTGGTTTGACTCTCATCATCCATTGCAACACAAACTAGAGGTTAGCAGGATGCTAAACCACAGAGCAAGAAACACCTCCACCTCCACAGAAGCCAAGAAAGAAGATGGACATCTGAGGACAGCCCTTAAGGCGTGTGGCTATCCAAAATGGGCCTTTAACAAGGCAGTGTCCCAACCCAGCAGGACAACGGAACAGTCTGAGACTCAGAGCCGACAGAAGAACCTGGTCATTCCTTACATGGCAGGTGTGTCTGAAAAGCTCAACAAGATTTTTGGTAAACATCATATACCTATTCACTTCAAACCCACAAACACACTAAGGCAGAGACCCGTCCATCCAAACGACTGGATACCAAAACACAACAGGAACATTATAGTATATGTGACCCAAAGCAAAGAGGAGGACTCAGAGCTCTACATTGGAGAAAGCAAACAGACACTAAACAGGAGAATGGCCCAGCACAGGAGGGACAAT